TCTACAAAATACCTAAACAGTACTCCTCAAAACTGCAATAGACATCAAAAAAGAATCTGAACAACTGTCATAGCTAAAAAGTTAACAAGTACTTTCAAGGGCGTGGAGAAAAGGGAACCTTGGGCACTGTTGTTGGAAATGTAAAATACAGCCATTATGGAAAATAGTTTGGAATTTTCTCAGAAGACTAAAAATAGAATGATCATGTGATCCGTAATCCCATTTCTGGGTACATATCCAAAGGAATTGAAATCAGTATGCTAAGGAGATATTTCCACTCCCATGTTCACTATACCAATATTCAAAATAGCTAAGATATAGAAGCAACTAGGTGTCAATCATCAGATAAATGGATTTTTAAAATGTGATATATATATACACAATGGAATACTATTCAACCTTAAAAGGGGGGGAAATCTTGTTATTTGCAACAATGTGGATGAACCTGAAGGACATTATGCTACGTAAAATAAACCAGACACAGAAAGACAAACATCACATGATCTCCCTTATATGTGAAATCTAAAAAAGTTAAACTCACAGGGGTAGAAAGTAAAATGGTGGCTATGAGAGGCTGGGGGAAGAGGTGAATGGGGAAAGGAAAGATGTTGATCAAAGGGTAAAAAGTTTCAGTCGGACAGGAGGAAAAAGCTTTAGTGATCTAATGCACAGAATGGTGACTATAATAAATAATGATATATATTTGAAATTGCTGAAAGAGGAGGTTTTAAATGTTTTCACCACAAAACGTAAGTACATGAGGTGATGGATTTGTAAATTAGCCTGATTTAACTAGTTCACATTGTAAACATATATTAAAACATCTTTGTACTCAGTAAATATATGCAATTATTATTTGTCATTTAAAAATAAAATTAAAATGAGGAAATCAATTAATCTTTAAAAAAAAAACTGTCACAGCCAAGAGGAACCTAAAGGACAGGATGACAAACTATAATGTGGTATATACTGCATGGGATTCTGGAGCAAAGTAAAGGCATTAGGTAAAAACCTAATTAGGACATTTGAAGAAAGTATGGACTTCAGTTTATATGAATATATCAATGTTGTGTCATTAATTGTAACAAATGTACCATACTAATATAAGATGCTAGTAACCCTGGAAACTGAATATGGCATATATGGGATTCTATCAATCTTCATATATTTTATGTAAATCTAGAACTGTTCTTAAATAACAATTTATTGCAGGGAAAAACCCTATTATGCCCCACAATTCCACTCCAAGGTTTAAACTAGGTATTTACCCAAGAGAATTGAAAACAGGTACTCAAGTGCATGCACATGTTTATTCACAGAAGCACTATTGGCAGTAGCCAAAAGGTGGAAACAGCTCACATGTCCATCATCAGATGAATGAATAAACAAACTGTGGTCTGTACATACAACGGAATACTACCCAGATATAAATAGAAGTACTAGATACATACTATAGCAATGAACCTCAAAAACATAATGCTAAGTGAAAGAAGCCAGACACAAAAGGTCACATATTATAATGCCTTTGTTTACATGAAATATTCAGAATAGCTACATGTACAGAGACAGAATACAAATTGATGATTGTCGGGGACTCAGAGGAGAGGAAATGGGGATAAAATGCTTAATGGATATGAGATTATCTTTTGGAGAGGTAGAAATGTTATATAACTAGATGGAGGTGGTGATTATACAACACGGTGAATGTACTAAATACCATTGGATTGCTCACATTAAAATGGTTGATTTTGTTAGGTGAACTTCACTTCAATGAATTTTAAAAAGAGAGAGGGGAACAAATATTTTCTACCTCAAAAAAAAAACCTCAAAATATTCTAAAACATATGAATAAATATTTAAGGAAAACAGAAAACAAAATCCACAATTGCAAAATAAATTATTGCAAGGAAAACAAATTATTAGAACCTTTATCTGTGAAACAATACATTCACAGGGATTAACACAGCAATAATCTCATACAAAAATAACAAATTATGAAACAAAATAAGATATAGCTGAAACAACCAAATAGATATGAAAAAGAATTAATTAAATGTCTTCAAAGTTCAAATATAGTCATTGAAATAAAAAATGCAATCAAACTTAAAAATAAACTTAGATAAAGAGACAATTAGTAGTGGGGAATTCACTCAGAACTTGGAAAGATAATGAAAATAAAGAGCAAATAAGGAACAAGAAAAATAGCTCAAAGGACCTCAGGTGTGTTTAGTGAGAGGTTCAGGGAAAAAAAAAAAAAAAAAAAAAAAAAAAAAAAAAAAAGAAGGAATGGTGAAGAGACAATGATTAAGAATATTCAAGAATGAAAAACTGAAACTCTCAGATCAAAAATTAAATTTGAATATTATGTTAAAAAATAGACGTATTATAGTGAAATTTCAGAACTTCCTGATAGAGAAAAACCTAGAATAAGTCAAAGAAGAGACTATCTACAAAGGAATGACAGTTCAGCTAAGAGCTGACTTATCCACAGCAATTATAGCCACCAGAAGTTTGTAAAGTAATATCAGCAAAACATTTTAGAAAAATAACTGAATGCTATATATATCATTCAAAGGTAAAGGTGAAATAAAGACATTTTCATATGCAAAAGAGTTTAATGGTGCTTATTATCTACAGACCTTCATATACACACATAATAAACACTGTTAAAAGAGTAGGCACCTCATCCAGATCAGCGATGAGCCCAGAGGGAAAAGTCTTTTAAATAAGGGGCTGGAATAAAACAACACTAAATACAGAAAATAATTTTTAACAATAAGCTAACAAATTGTACCAACTACTGACTATAATATCAAATGACAGCTAATGATGGTTGTTTGTTAAAAATTGGAACTAAAATCTTGATAATAATAAAATCATAGAAATAAGTCTAAGTAAATCTATTAGTAATTTCAAAAATGTAAGTGGATTAAAATACCTAAAAGAAGAGAAAAAACTATTAGATTTGATTTTTAAAATACACCCAGCTATAGCCTAGTTACAAGTCTTAAATAAAACAAAGGGTTGAAAATAATGGGATGATCAAAAAATTATCAGGTAAAATGTGAGGCAAAGGGTTTAATAAGGATAAATTATTAAAGGAACACAATAACATCAGTATAAAATAACATGAATTTGTATTTTTCTACATCAGACAGAATAATGTAGGCTATGGTACAATAAGTTATACTGGCTTCACAAACAAAAGGTTTATTTTTTCACTCATACGAAGTTCTAGCCAAATTTTATACCTCTGCAGACCAGCAGTTTTCCGTGTGGTGACTCAGAAGTCCCTGTTGCGGGAAGTCAGGGACCTGGAACGGAGGGACCAGCTGAAGCCATGGCAGAAGAACATAAATTGTGACGATTTCATGGATATTTATTAGTTCCCCAAATTAATACTTTTATAATTTCTTGCACCTGTCTTTACTGCAATCTCTGAACAAAAATTGTGAAGATTTCATGGACACTTATCACTTCCCCAATCAATACCCTTATGATTCCCTATGCCTGTCTTTACTTTAATCTCTTAATCCCATCATTTTCATAAACTGAGGAGGATGTATGCTGCCTCAGGACCCTGTGATGATTGCATTAACTGCACAAATTGTTTGTAGAGCATGTGTGCTTGAACAATATGAAATCTGGGCACCCTGAAAAAAGGAACAGGATAACAGCAATGTTCAGGGAACAAGGGAAATGGCCTTGGACTCTGACTGCCAGTGAGCTGGACAGAACAGAGCCATATTTCTCTTCTTTCAAAAGCAAATAGAAGAAATATCGCTGAATTCTTTTCCTCAGAAAGGAACATTCCTGAGAAAGAGAATGTGCCCCTGAGGGTAGGCCTTTGAACGGCCCCTGTAGGGGCAGCCACCTTTTACGGTCGAAGCCAAAGGGATGAAACAAGCCCCGGTCTCCTGTAGCACTCCCAGGTTTATTAGAACAAGGAAATTCCTGCCTAATAAATTTTGGTCAGATAGGTTGTCTGCTCTCAAACTCTGTATCCTGATAAGATGTTATCAATGACAATGCATGCCCGAAACTTCATTAGTAATTTTAATTTTGCCCCGTCCTGTGGTCCTGTGATCTCACCCTGCCTCCACTTGCTTTCTGATATTTTATTACCTTGTGAAGCATGTGATCTCTGTGACCCACACCCTATTCATGCACTCCCTCCCATTTTGAAAATCACTAATAAAAACTTGCTCGTTTTACAGCTCAGAGAGCATCACGGAACCTGCTGACATGTGATGTCTCCCACAGATACCTAGCTTTAAAATTTCTCTCTTTTGTACTCTTTCCTTTTATTTCTCAGACCAGCTGAGATGCTTAGGGAAATAGAAAAGAACCCGTGTTAAATATCGGGGGTGGGGTTTCCCCCAATAAGCCCCAGCAGTTTCAAACTTGTGGTTCAAACATCTCAACATACAGCTTCCTTGGTTGCCAATTGCCAACCAGTTGGCCAGAACCTGTCACATGGCATGACCCAACTGTTTAGAGAGCTGGCAGATGTGATGAAGCACATGCTTATTCAGTAATATTAAATGTCTCTGTCACAGCAAGTAACAAAATGTTGTTAAAATTCATAATATAAAACTGGATGATGATACAAAGAAAAATTAACAGGAAGCAATCCTAATGAAAGCATTTTAATCTCTTTCTAGTAGAGGAAAAATCAAACAGAAATAAATGATATGTTGCTTTTAGACGTACACATATATAGCAAAATACTGTTCTAAAAAATGCACATAAATGCTAATCAACACCTTCATTACAGTGGGTTGCATCTCAGGAAGAATTAAGAAAAGCAGAATTAGAAAAGGCTACACAACAAGTTTCAACATTACTTGTAATACTCTATTTCTTCATATTGTATACATGATACTATTTATACTATTCTGTATTACTTTCTATATATTTGAAATAGTTCATATTAATTTTTAAAAGAATAACTACGCAGCTGCAATAGTTGTCTATGATGTAAGAAATTATCCCAAACATAATAGCTTAAAACAACATACATTTATTATCTCACAGTTTCCATGGGTCAGGAGTCAGGGCAAGGCTTAGTTGGATGGTCAGATTCTCACAAGGCTTCAAAGTGCTGGCCAGTCTGAGGCTCAGAAACCTCTTCCACAGTCACCTGATTGTTGACAGAATTCATTTCTTTGCACCTGTTGAATTCATGGTGACTTGCTTTTTCAAGGTCAGCAGGGGAATCTCTGACTTTAGTCAGCTATATTGTGTATAAAGTAACATAATCATTATCTTTGCCATATATTGTAGCCTAATCAAAAGAGTGACTATATCATTATATTCAAAAGTTCTTCTCACACTGAAGGGGAGATTATTTAGAGCATATATACCAGGAAGCAGGAATCCTGGGAGCCATCTAAATTTCTACCTACTACAGTTCCTTAAGAGTCTCATAATACAGTGGAAGACATAGACATAAGGACAAAGGTTTAAAGCAATGTGAGATAAGCTATATTAGATACGTGTCTTCTTTTGGGTCCCCCAAAAGTTGACCTAGATAGAAGACCTTAGGTGCAGTATATTTGACATGATTCCAGGATGTATATGTGAGACAGGGAATTGAGAAAGGCCAATATAAACAGTTCGTTAACGAGCAGGTTACCACTATGGGCACTGGGGCTAAATCCCACTGTGAACCCTCTAAGAACCATATGAAACATGCTTCATATTTATCTCACTGGTAGATGGAAAGCCTCAACCATTTTATCTACTGACTCCGGTCCCCTGTTGGCTGAGGCTCTCTCTCACTCTTCTAGGTTGTCACTGTGCATGGTAAGTTTCTATGGTGCCAGATAAATCCTTCATAAAGTGAAGCACAGAGGAACAGATGCTTAAAATGGGAACTGGTCAGCATGTCAGAAACTCTACCCCACATGCAGGGATCTCAAAGCTGGACATGTAACAATATGGGGTGAGACATTAAGAACATCTGTCACAATGTGTATATTAGGTAAATTAAGACTTGCTGCTATAACAAATAAACATACAAATCTCAGTGGCTTAATATGATGACATTTTATTTCTCACATACAATTCAATCAATAGGACCGTGAAGCTTTGGCAGGGTGAAAGAGTGACTGAAGTGCTCCTTGCAAACATTCAGGAACACTGCTACCTGCATCTTCAATACATGGCCCCCAAAGACTCCTTGTCTGTATAAGCAAACGACTAACAGACAGGAGAAGAGAGAGAAGTAGATTGTGTGGAAGAAAAGTTTGACATGGCATGGCTTCACTAAAGCACAAAGGAGCTTGGGTAACATAGTCTAGTTGTGTGCCCTTTCGAAAAAGAAATAGATCAGTTGAACAGGTAGCATTTGCTATCCTGTTCACGTATGTAAAAGCATATATGACTTTTAGGTTAAATCTTGAAGAAAGATGTGGTAATTAATTTTGTGTATCAACTTGGCTGAGTCATGGAGTGTCCATATATTTGGTTAAACATTATTCTGTATATGTCTGTGAGAGTAATTCTGAATGAGATTAACATTTTAATCGGTAAACTAAATAAAGCAGATTGCCCTTCCCAATATGGGAGGGCCTTATCCAGCCCACTGAAGGCCAGAGTACAACAAAGAGGTAGAGTAAGAAAGAATTTGCTCTTTACCCAACTATCTTTGAGTTGGGACATTAGTCTTCTCCCTTGGCACTTGACTTAGACTGAAACTTACACTCCATCAGCCCTCCTGGATCTCAAACCTTCAAACTCAGAATATAACTATCACCTGCAATTTGTTGACTGCAGATCCTAGAACTTCTCAGCCTCCAAAACCATGTGAGCCAATTCCTTATAGTAAATCTATATATCTATATCTATCGATATACATAAATCCTACTGATTTTGTTTCTCTGGAGAACCCAGATTAATACAGAAGGTTAAAAATGTGTCATAGAATTAACAAGGAATAAAAGCATTTCAGGCAGAGCAAAAAACAACATGGACAGAAGAACAGCTTAGAAGAACCCAAGCAGGTTCAGAGAACTGAAGTAGATTTGTTTTGACAGGACCCATAGCAGGTGTAGTTATATGAAAGAAGAATCTGGAAATGTGGGCAGGAACCTGACAGTAAGACTCCTGATTTTACACTGTGAAGGAAATGAAAGGCTAGAGAATTTAAAACAGAAGTATACAGCATTTTCTGATACTACTTTAGGAACCTCAAGAAAGATGCTGTGTAAGAGCAAGCAAAAGGATTTTCTGCTAAATATTGTTAAACATCACCTGTCTTGAGCTCTAGGACATTTAACAAGGAAAGATGATGCATTCAGTCAAAAGTGCATGAGCCTGAAGTCAAGCAGGTTTGAGTTTAATGGTACCTGGCAAGTTTGTTATGAGAATCAAAGGGTTTGTATGTAGAGCTTTTAGCACAATGTATGACAAAAAGCATGTGCTCAAGGAAAAAAAAAAATAGTTCCTTTCTTCTCTGAGCAACAAAATAAATAGCATGAATTTATCTCAGAACCAGAGGGGAAAAAAAAACTGAATTAGTGGAAACTCTGACTTTTGGACACTGCTTGATATTGCTAACACTGTTTGTGAATAATTATGCCCTGTAAAAGGAATAACCAAAAAACTTTTAATGTGTAGCCAAGATATGCAGACTCAGTAACCCCAGCCCAAGTGCTTACTGGTGTATACCAATTGGGTGTCAAAAATGTGCAACAGACTATCTAAAGGAGGGTAATAATACTAAGCCCCAACATTAGTATTGAGAAACACTGACAATTCATAATAGTCATAGTAAAACATAGCAAGGAAATACTTTCACATTGAAATTATTTAACTCTACATTAACCGGCTGCCTAAATATATTTCTTATGTTCTATTCACTCTTTAATGAAATGTGTGTCTTTTAATAAGCTTGCATTTCATAATTAGATACATAATATTCATGCCTTGTGATTTCCCCCACAGAGAATTTCCAATGTATTAATTATAATTTTTTAAAAACCCAATTTATTCTGTGTGTTTAGTTTCTAAACATATTTTTAAAAATTTATTTAAGGCATGAACAAAATTCCATACAGTGAAAATCTGTAGGAGAAGATAAACTTTATTTGATAATTCATGACCCAAATGAATAAAGGGTGTTTAAAAAAAAAAAGAAAGAAATGCTAACTAAAACTTTTAAAATGAATAGCGTCTTTTTGTATAAATCACTTTTGTGTTACTATTATGCCACATTCTTATTTACTTTTACTCTGCTTACAAAATATTAGATAATATAGTTTCTTTAAAAACTTCCAATCCCAGGAGCAGTGGAGCCCTGGTTCTCAACCTTGGCTGCACATTTGGAATCATTAGGGGACCTTTTTAAAAATACTCATTACCTAGGTTTCACCTCAGATCCATTGTTAAAAAAAAAAAAAAAAATTGAGAGTGGAACCTAAGCACAAAAATTTAAAAATCTCCAGAGATTATAGGGAAATGTACAGCTTGCATCAATCCCTATTCACACTGCCACTATACCATTCAGGCCTTCAGTATCACATACCTGACTCTTTCAAGAGCCACCTAACAAGTCTTCTCACCATCCTACTTCACCATTGTCAGATTAAAAGTACCCTTAAAATGTACTTATCAAACCTAACATGCTTACTGAGGGTCTTGTTAAGATTTTAAGATGAAGGCTCTAATTAAGCTGATCTTGAGTGGAGGCTGACAGTCTACATTTCTTTCAAGTTCCCAGGTGATGTTTATGCTGCCAAGCCACAAACAACAAACCGTACTGATTTATGTTTTCCAGTCATAAAGAAAACTACTGGTACCACTTCCTAATTCTAGATACTTTTTCAGCTTTTTTTCTTTCTTTTTTTTTATTTGACTTGGCATTTTACATTTAAAAAGTAGAATTTTTATCTTGCTTTTTAGTGAATATCCATGTTAGTTAATACGTTTAGGTAAAGACATAACATCCTTGAAGGCTTTAAGCCCTTTGACAGCTCATAGGACAAGTTAGATGTATAGTAAAGAAATCTGTTTCCATATGGACAGACACAGTAAGATTCAGTATTTTGACCCCTAGTAAGTTTATAGTCATATAACTAAATATATGCAAAGTGTTGGCAAATACCACTAAAATATTTATTTAAAACTACCATTTATGGTGGGTATGGAAAAAAAGGAGCTATTATAGAAATAGAATTGCAAGATTAGAAAAACACATTCTAGTTGACTTAATCTGAATTCTATAATTTTCTAAGCCATCTATAATTTAAATTTTTAAAAGAATTTCTCATAATAGTCTAGAAATTAGCCATGCTATCTAATAATACATTACCAGTATTGTGTACTTATTTTAAACATATAGACTATATTTAACATAGACTATGCTAACTATGGTTAACAATACCGTACAGTACCCTTAAAATGTATTAGGGGGATAGGTCTTCTGTTTTGTGATTTTTACTGCAATAACTAAGTAGTAAATAAATAATATGTGCCTGTAATCCCAGCACTTCGGGAGGCCGAGACGGGCGGATCACGAGGTCAGGAGATCGAGACCATCCTAGCTAACACGGTGAAACCCCGTCTCTACTAAAAAAATACAAAAAACTAGCCGGGCGAGGTGGCGGGCGCCTGTAGTCCCAGCTACTCGGGAGGCTGAGGCAGGAGAATGGCGTGAACCCAGGAGGCGGAGCTTGCAGTGAGCTGAGATCCGGCCACTGCACTCCAGCCTGGGCAACAGAGCGAGACTCCGTCTCAAAAAATAATAATAATAAATAAAAAATTAAAAAAATAAATATGTGTGTGTATATATCTATATATATATACACACACACACATGCTTGCATGACTGAAACTTTATACCCATTGAGCAACATATTAGGGTTCTCCAGAGAAACAGAATCAACAGTACACACACACACACACACACACACACACACACACACACAGAGCTCAATGTATTAGTCAGTTTTGGAGAAATATAGATCATGTTGTGTTCCATTTAAAACCTATTTATTGATGTAGAACATGGAATGTGTCAAAAGTGTTTAATTGCTCCCACTCCCTCCTTTGTATTTTATGTATCATTATTGTGAAGAAGGGGTGGTACAAAAAAGGAGGAGGAGGAGAAGAACTTTGGGTATATTACAAAGTCAATGTGTATGTGTATACGTGTGTACTATTGGTTCTGTTTGGAGAACCCTAATATGTTGCTCAATGGGTATAAAGTTCCAGTCACGCAAGATGAAACAG